ATTATATTTAAATTTGCTTTCGATTAAGTCATGTCTCATGATGGTAATCGACCTGGAACAGACCCAACATAAGGCCCAAAGGCAAAAATCCACCTTTTTACCGTCATATCTCAACCCTCAAGACGGTTGGGCCTGTTCGAGGTCGATTACCATCATGAGACATGACTTAATCGAAAGCAAATTTAAAAACGAATAAAATAAAAAAAAACAAAAAAAATCGCAGGTGGCGTACTTTGCGAAATTTCGATTTTAAACTTTAAAATCTCAAAATAAGAGTGAAAACTACCCCCTAAAATTTTATAAATATTTTTTTCAGATTCTACGGGAAAAATGCTATAAAGTTACAATGGTTTCAGATTTTTTTTATTGGCACGACGACAACGACGAGAATTAAGAAACTGGTAGTCGAAGCAAAAATTCGAATTTTATGACAGCCATAGAAGCTCATGGTATGGGTGAAAAAATCCGAAAAAATTCGACAAATGTTTTCTAAAATAGTACTACCGATTGCCATAGGTTTCGATCAAATCTAATTTTTGAGCGTACCCCTTTCACATGGAATGACCCATATATATTAGGTGAAGTAAAAAGTTCTGAGCGTTTTCCGCTAGATGTCTTTAGTAAGCCATATCTCACGATGTATACATCGCATCGGGTCATACTATACGTCGATTTAAAGGTGACATTACGCTTCAAAAAAAGTTCTGTGACAGTTTTGTGTTTGGTCAAGGCAGTNCCGGATTAACGGCCAAGAAGGTTTTGCTGTGTGTTTGGTGGGATTGGAAAGGAATCATCCACTATGAGCTGCTCCCATCGGGCAAAACACTCAATTTGGACCTCTATTGTCAACAACTGACCAGATTGAAGTAGGCGATCGACCAGAAGCGGCCAGAATTGGTCAATAGGAAGAGTGTTGTGTTCCATCGAAACAACGCCAGGCCGCACACATTATTAACGACGCGCCAGAAGCTCCGAGAGCTTGGATGGGAGGTTCTATTGAACCCACCGTATAGTCCAGACTTGGCACCAAGCGATTATTACCTTTTCAAGCATTTGCAAAATTTTCTTGATGGTACAAATCTGGCCTCAAGAGAGGCTTGTGAAAATGAGCTGGTCAAGTTTTTTACTAATAGGGACGAGGACTTCTTCAATCGCGGAATTATGAAATTGCCTTCAAAATGGACAAAAGTTATCGAACAAAACGGCGCATATTTGATCGAAATCAGATAATCTTATGTTAATTTCATCGTCGAAGTAAAGCGAAAAAACGCTCAGAACTTTTTACTTTACCTAATATATAATTGTAGTTTTTTTATTTCAAATATATTGCAATGCCAATTGTTTTATCATATAAATAAAATCGGAAGAATTTTGTGTAAAAATATACTAAAAAAATTATATATATATGTGTGTGTGTGTGTGTGTGTGTGTGTGTGTGTGTGTGTGTGTTATTAATATTTTTTATACTATTATTATTATTTTTTTAAATATTCTGAGAATATTTTTATAATATGCCAAGAATATTATGTGAAGTGGATATGTAACATCAATTGAATATTCCTATGATGTTAATAAATATCACATAACATTCTCAAAATATTATAAAAATATTATTTTAATATTGAATAATATTTATATTATATTCTATGAATATTACACGCTTATAGGGAATTATTTACTAAAATACTGTGTAAATTTTAATGATAAGTCGGCACGAACTTTTCTATTGAACTACTATATCTACAAATTATATATTCGATAACCAAAAGATTAAAGATGTATCTTTTTAAATTGCATGTATATGTGTCGTGATATATGCATAAACAGGGTGTCCCATTTTAACATAGACATCAAAATATCTCAAAAACAAAGCATTTTCGAAAAAAATATTTCAAATAAAAGTTGTAGAGTTTGAAGAGGGCCATCAATTATTTAGATTTTGGGAGACGGGATCAGATAACCTACACCGGTGATTGGCTAATTTAATATAAAATGTTCTAATTGGTGGTCCAGCAGAAAAACTCTAGGCACTGGTGTGAATGTGTGCTGTTCCACCGTGCGCTAACGGAATCCTCCCGATTTTTGGTCCGGAACTCACTTTGGGCCCAATAAGTCCCAAAATTAATTTTTTTCGTTGGAAACGCCTATGTTTTATTGCAGATTCGTATTCTATGGAGAAAAACAAGGAAGTTTTATTTCCTAATTTTTCGCTAAATCTCCAATAGACGCATAATAGTATTCAAAGTTCTTATTTTGAAACACATTCCGGCCAATGAAAGCAAGATCGGAAGACGATTCAGCCAATAAAGGCAAGATAAGTAGACGATCAACCCGAATATGTTCTTGGAGGGTAATATTGGGGGAATCTCTAAAAGACAATTTTATTTCTTTACCGTCGATAGCACTCATTGCTAATGTACGAATATTTCATTCATATATCATTACAGGACACATGTTAAAATATTGCAGATGTTATTCAAAAAAACTTTGTATTTCTTTTGACCGTCTATCAAAATTCGTTCCTGTTACTCCTGTATATCTGTTACCCTCCCTTGCTTTCTTAAGAAAAAAGAGGATAATATCATTCAATTACCAAGTTTTCTTCAGATAAATCTGTCATGCACCAATTATTTTTATTTAATTATTTAATTATTTTTTATTAATCACTTAATTAATAATAATTTAATATTGTTAAATCCGGGTTGTATTTTTTATTTGAAAAATGATAAATTATACGCCAAATGAGTAGTGAACATTCTGATTATTCTTAGTGAATGTCAGAGTAATTACGGACGTGCTTCACATCTTTATTCTGAGCGATATCCTTCACCGGCATCCGAGTGTTCAGGAAATAATAAATATAGAGAGAAGATCTCATAGAATCCATATATCGCCAGAGACAAAAATAGGCTTCAAAACTATAAAGATCCTAGATTTCTCAGAATATTAAATATGATCCATTTGAATCCACATGTCGACACTCGTTAAATGTAACGAAAACTAAGAATTCCTTGATCTACGATTAACCGGATATTCCAATGTTTTAATGCAGTTCAGTACCGTTTTAATAATCTTTTCGATACCTTTCTTACCACGTCAATCTTGTGCAAGAATTAAGTGAAAATGACCACGTACTAAGAGTTTGATTTTGTAGTTAGGCACATTGGAAGAGAAATCGATTTTTTTTTTGATGTTTGTTTCAGCGACGATGCAACATTTCTAAGTATCTGGAAGTCTCAATAGACAATTGTCATTATTTTCCAGTATATTCTCATTGATGCCGATAAGTGCTCAATCAACATCATTGGAACTTCTATGTTTAAATTGAAATATTTTATGGTCAGATTATCAGGTCACATTTTTTCGAACATATTATAAATGGCCTAATTTACTTAGATTTTCTTCAGAACCATTTACTAGGATACCTCGAGGACATTCCGCTGAATGTTCGCCGATCTTGGTTTCAACAGTAATGGTACTCTTGCACCATCATTCGAGATGTTAAGATATTCTTAGATGCAGAATTACAGAATTGTTGGATAGGCCGACAAGAATTAGTTTTGTGGCCTCCGAGATCATTGGATTTTAATCCTTTCGACTTCTACTTGTGGGATGCGTGAAAAATGCTGTATACGAAAATGAACCAACTGAATAGCATCAACCTGGCTTGTCAAGCGATAACTCCACAAATAATCAGATCAGTTATACAAAATTTTAAATGTAGACGCAATTTGTGTTTAGAGAGTAACGGTGGACACTTTAAATTTGATAAAGACAGAGTGACGTATTAGCAACAATTAGGTGAAATAGTCCATAATCCATTATTCATCGTCATCGGCTACACCATTCCCTGATCTTGCCTTCATTGGCTGGATCGTCTCTTGGCCTTGTCTTCATTGGCCGGATCGTCCCATAGTCGTGTCATCATTGGCTAGATCGTTCACTAATATTGCTTTCATTGGCCGGAATATGTTTTAAAATAAAAACTTCGAGCGTTATTTTACACATTAGAAAAGGTTTAATGAAAAACGTTGGAGGAGATTTAATGAAAAATTACCAGAATCAAAATATCCTTATTTTTTCCATAGAATACGAGTCTGCAATAAAACATATATGTTTCCATCGAAAAAATCCATTTGAGCCTTGTCGAGTACAAAGAGGATGCCGAATCCAAAATTTAAATAAGCTCATTTAATGGCTCTCTTCAAACCCTACAACTTTTGAAACGTTTTTGAAACGAAGCATTTTTCGACCCGTACTTATCGAAAATTTTTTGTTCAGAATTAAATTTCCTACAAAATCTCAAAATCTAGCTGGAACGTTCGGGGTAACTCTGTACACACACACGCGCACGCATGTACGCATGCACGCACGCCTATACACGGACCCATACACGAGACTGTCTGATGCAACTCTTACAGTAAAATGTTACTGGGAAAAGTACTAATGATTAATCACTGGTCAATATTTCAATGATTTTTTGGCGAATTATTAAAAGAATTAATTACTGCTATTACAGAATATTGTTTTCAGCAAAATTATGTTGATCGAAACGAGTTGAAACAAATTAATGTTAGATCATATTTTTTTTTAAAGTACCGCTTTAATTTTTGCACTTTTCATCTCATAATGATCTCATAATGATCGAACAGAATCTTTTGATTTCTACGAGGTTTGTTTAAAAAGTATCGCGAATTTCGTGTTTTTTCAAAAATTATTTATTTATTCATGAATATCTATTTTGTCTCCTTCAAAGTAATCCCCATCAGATATTATACACTTGTGCCAACGTTTTTTCCAATCCTCGAAGCACTTCAAAAAATCATTTTTTGTGATCTTGTTCAGCTCCTCCTTCGATGCCGTCTTTATCTCCTCAATCGTAGCGTAGCGTCGTCCTTTTATGTGCCTCTTCAGTTTCGGCAACAAGAAAAAGTCACAGGGGGCCAGGTCTGGGGAATACGGTAGCTGCGGCATCATTAATGTGTAGTTTTTGGCCAAAAATTCGCGCACAAGCAACGATGTGTAAGCAGGGGCGTTATCATGGTGCAAAAGCCAATTTTTGTTCTTCCACAAATCCGGGCGTTTCTGGCGGATTGCTTCGCACAAATTGCGCATAACTTGCAGGTAATATTCCTTATTGACCGTTCTACCCTGTGGCAAGAACTCATGATGCACCACGCCTCTGCAATCGAAGAAAACTTTAAGCAAAACCTTCACATTCGACCGAACTTGGCGCGCTTTTTTCGGTCTTGGCTCGTGTGGCAGCTTCCATTGGGATGATTGAGCTTTGGTTTCCACGTCATAACCATAAGCCCATGATTCGTCACCAGTTATGATCCTCTGGAGCAAATTTGGGTCGTCGCGGACAGAGTCCAACAGCTCCCCAGCAATGTTTAATGCGATGCTGTTTTTGGTCGAAATTGAGCAATTTTGGTACGAATTTCGCGGCGACCCGTCTCATGCCCAAATCATTAGTAAAAATCGAATGGCACGAGCCAATCGATATGTTTAGGTCCTCAGCAACTTCTTCAACGGTGATTCGACGATTGGCCAATACTATTTTCTTCACTCCATCAATGTTTTCGTCTGTTGTTGACGTGCTCGGGCGTCCGGCACGCTCTTCGTCGTTCACATCTTCTCGACCCTCTGAGAACATTTTGTACCACCGATAAACGTTGCTTCGGTCCAAGGTAGCTTCACCATATGCCACAGTCAACATTTGGAATGCGTCCGCGCACTTAATTTTGTTAGATTCTTTGATCCATTTTTTGGAATAGGCAAAAATCGAAGACGAGCCAAAACACGTCCAAGCAAAACAGTTGTCAAAGATAAACTGAATATTCAAAATGGCCGAACTTGTCGGCATAAGTGAGAGACATGAGTACCAACATAACGCCACAAAAAAATCGAAAATCGAATATACATAACCCGCGGAAATTCAAAATTCGCGATACTTTTTGAACAGACCTCGTATATTACATCATCACAAAAAAAATACAAATACATTACAAGAAAATATACGCCAAAACTGAGAAGTCGCTTGATATTGTAATAAAAATGCAACAAGCAAATCAACTCGTTGCTTTAGGATTTACTACAATGACTAATTTTAAATGACTAATATTAATGACTAAATGACTAATATTAACCCTTTGCACTCCGGACCTTTTTCGCGCGGCGCGAAAATGGCACCACATGGTGAGTGAGAGTCACCACTGGAGTGCAAAGGGTTAAACGTACTCGTAAATTTTGTTTATCAAGCAATGATAACAAAACAAATATTTAGTATAGTAATTGTAAGAAATATATTTGTAAATCGCACACAAGTTATTTATGCCCAGCTTGTGCCGAATCGAAGAAAACATTTCTTTTTTTATTTAATTTATCAATGGATATATTTTTTATTAATATTTAACTATGAATCTTCAGCAATAAATGTATACAACTATTTTTTTTGTTTTTATATCTCCACAAATATATAAAATAACAAGCCGGATCATATTGATTGTGAACAACACAACCGTACAGTAAATTTAAATAAAACAACAGGGTTAAATAAAGCCCGTGGCATGATTTCCATCTAGCAAATAAACCAGCAGGCAAAAACGTACCGCCTGTCGCGGACATAGAGACATCCTTAATGTACATCCTACATATATATTTCGTTTTTGTTACGATAAATTCTAGATATCATTAAATATCTCATGATATATCTCGTGGACATACTTAAGATCAATTTTTGCTATATGGGATTACGGACATTGTAGAATGATTTTAAGAGAATTGACTAATCACACTCAAATAATCTTCGTAAGGAGAATAATCGACTGTAATTGACCCATTTTTTTACTATTTAAATCTTATTGCGTATTTTTTTTTATGTGCTATAGTACAAAGTCTATAGTATTTTGTTGGAAGTCGTAGAATTTAATGATCGACTTATTAGTCGATGTAAGGCGTAAGAAATAAAAATAATTCATTTCGATTACAATTTTATGTCACAGTTATTATTCCGGAAACAGGTCGTTATAATCGTATCTTGCGCACTTACAGTCATATTATTATAATTATCGTACAATGGAATAGTCTTAATACTATTATGTCTCTTCATATTTAGTCTCTTCATATCTGTTAAAGCTATTGCACGTGAAAAAATTTTAGTCGTAACCAGTAAAAAACACGTGAAAATGTTTTAGTTGTAAAGCAGTAAACAAATCATCAGCAGTAATCAAATTCATCAACCACAGTCGGCTATTTTTCTTACGATTCAAGAATAATCGACTGGCTGGTTGGTCTTTACAATTACGATTAAATTTTGTTCATTTGCAAAGACCTTTACGGTCATTACCGTATGGACTTTTGCATGCATCTTATTTGAAATTTATAACAAAACTCGGAAACAAAAATCTTATTATTTATAAGAATAAAACTTAATTTGTATACAGAAATTTATGTTGAAATTATTTGGAAAAAAATATTTTTATGTGAACATACACAGTTACAAATGAACATATATGCCTTCGTATAAGATTTGATAAGATCATAACTAATTATATCTGATTTCAGATACGATAAAGCATGCTTTGTATTATTTCATCTGGTCGTATTTGAACAATATACTATTTTATCATATAAGAGAAGATTTTATTATATAAAAAATTTTTTTCCAGAAATTTATTCCTACATTTTATTTTTAATTTTAATCTGGACTTTTTAAAAAATAGTCTAATAAAGGCGATGTGGAAAACGCTGTCAAGGAAGCAATAAATCTTGGATATCGACATATAGATACAGCATTCTTCTATGATAATGAAGAGGAAATCGGGAAAGTTGTCCGTGAAAAGATTGAAGATGGTACTGTAACTAGGGGAGATCTTTTTATTACTACAAAGGTTAGATAACATCTGATTAGAATATTTAGTTTCATATTGTAAATTTAATTAACGTTTATGTTATTTACCCCTGCTAGCTATGGAACACTTTCCATAAAGAAGAACTTGTTATTCCAACTTGCAAACGATCACTGACTAAGCTTGGATTGGATTATATAGATCTCTATTTAGTTCATTGGCCGATTGCTTTTAAGGTAAGTATTGAGTAATAATATAGTATGTAAAGATATGATTTGCAATGATTTTTGTTTTTTTACATGTTGTCAAGGTCATCATTTGAATAATATTAAAATAGTTCTTGCTGCTGCTCATTGTTTATTAACACAATTTTAACAAAAAAAGTTAAAGGAGAAGTACGCAATTTTTTACTTAACAGTAATATAAATTTTTGAAAACGTGAGGTTCAATGAAAAGGTGGTAAAAGTTTTCAGCCTGACTAAAAAGAGCAAGAATTGCTTCACAGTTCTATTGTAGTCCGACAGATGGCAATAACAAATGTCTACATCTAAATTTTTAGGTTATTTTGACATCCAATTTTTTATGACAGTCTTCTAAATTGAACGGCTGTCACAGTTTGTCAATAATGGACAAAATCGATCTCTGGTAAAATTCCATTGAAAGGAAAATCGCCAACCGAAATCAAAACCGAATTAGATGCGGTATATGGCGAAATATCTTTTTCGTTTTCCACAATAAAAATTTGGGCTGCTGAGTTTAAACATGGTCGTATTAGGATTATCTATGAAAAATGCTCCGGATATCGAAAACATACAACAACCGACAAAAAGATAGATTTGGTTCACCAAATCGTGATTGCCGATTGACTCTGAACGAGATAGCAGAGACTGCTAATATTTCAATAGATGAACGTGCGCACTTTATCCTACACAAACATTTAGGCATGAGGAAGTTGAGTGCACGATGGGTACTGCGTTTGCTGACCGTGAATCAAAAACGTATTCGATTGAATATTTCGAAATTGTATCTTCAGAGTTTTAAGTGCAATGAAAATGATTTCTTGCGGCATTTTGTAACTGTTTATGAAACTTGGGTTCATCACTATACATCTAAGACGAAATAATAGTCAAAATAGTGGTGTTCAAAGGGTGAACTGACTTCGAAGAAGACAAAAACAGCCTCGGTTGGAAAGATGATGGCGACAGTTCTTTGGGATTTCTACGTGATAATTTTTATCGATTTCTTGGTAAAAGGGAAAACAATAAGCGGCGAATTATATTATACTGATTTATTGCAACGTTTAAGCGCCGGAATTAAGATGAAACTTCCGCATTTGGCTAAGAAAAAAATCCTGCTCCAGGACAACGCACTGGTGCTTAAATCAACCATCGCGATAGCAAAATTGCAAGAATTAAAGTTTAAATTGATTCTCCATCCATCGTACCCTCCAGATTTGGCCCCGTACAGCTTCTTTCTGTTCCTAAATTTGAAAAAATAGCTATCTGGAAAGAAATATTCATTTGATTCTGCAGTAATAAATGCTATAATTAGAACTACTATTTTTCCGTTTTAGACAAATCATATTTTACTAAAGGCATGAAAGGTCTGGAAAAGATCTGGAAAAACGTTGGAATAAATATATTTAATTAAAAGGAGAATATGTTGAAAAATAAATTTCATTTAGCCCAAAAAATATTTTCTTGATATAGCCAGAAACTTTTTAATTGACTATGTGAACATCAACTAACAAATCAAATTTATGCGGAATAATTACGGAAAAACTTCTAATAGAAGATTTCATTAGTACGTTATGTGATCTGTTTAATCTTTTAAAACCTCATTCATTTATAGCTAAATAATAATCATTATATCTTGAAAATCATAGACAGAATTTACACGCTGGTAAAGTATTGGTTTTGTTTGCGAAAACTATGCTTATGTTATACAGAATGTCTCTCAAGATTTTAATTTCAATAACGACCAATGTACAATAATGCTTGCTGTATACGAGGTCTGTTCAAAAAGTATCGCGAATTTTGTGTTTTTTCAAAAATTATTTATTTATTCACGAATATCTATTTTGTCCCCTTCAAAGTAATCCCCATCAGATATTATACACTTGTGCCAACGTTTTTTCCAATCCTCGAAGCACTTCAAAAAATCATTTTTTGTGATCTTGTTCAGCTCCTCCTTCGATGCCGTCTTTATCTCCTCAATCGTAGCGTAGCGTCGTCCTTTCATGTGCCTCTTCAGTTTCGGGAACAAGAAAAAGTCACAGGGGGCCAGGTCTGGGGAATACGGTGGCTGCGGCATCATTAGTGTGTTGTTTTTGGCCAAAAATTCGCGCACAAGCAACGATGTGTGAGCAGGGGCGTTGGTACGAATTTCGCGGCGACCCGTCTCATGCCCAAATCATTAGTAAAAATCGAATGGCACGAGCCAATCGATATGTTTAG